ACAGCAAAACCCCAAACACCCAGAACCAGGAGGATTCTCAGCTGTCAACGGTAAAACAATGTGAAAGAAGTTTGATGAAAACCTGGGAACAGTCCAAGTCCGAAGCTCTAAACCTGGGAACAGTCCAAGTCCGAAGCTCTAAACCTGGGAAGCAGCAGAAGCCAGTTTCCTCCCAAAGCTGCGGTTTGAAGAGAAACCGTTGAGCTTAAAGGATTCTTACTTCTGCTGACGACCAAACATCATGAGACCAACATGAGCCGCCGAAGGCAGGCTGAGGAAGAGGAGCAGTGACATCATCAGGGGCTGAAACGATGAAGAAAACCAGTCAGAGTCCCAGAAGGTCAGAGCTGAAGGTCCAGTCGGTTCTGAAGGTCCAGTCGGTTCTGAAGGTCCAGTCGGTTCTAAAGGTCCAGTCGGTTCTGAAGGTCCAGTCGGTTCTGAAGGTCCAGTCGGTTCTGAAGGTCCAGTTGGATTTGAAGGTCCAGTCGGTTCTGGAAGTAAACAACAAAATAATCCATCCATCTGTCCGTCTAATCTCACTTAGTTCAATGTTTTGGATTATCATAAATGTTTACAGTTTCTGTCGTCATGTCGGCTCTAAACAGGATTATTCCAGATTGTTTCAGCCAATCATGCGACCCGTTTAATGAACAGCAGTCACAGTTCTGGTTTATCTGAACATTCACTGAAAGCTTGAACAAGTTCAGCACAGAAGCAGCTTTTTGATGAACTGACGCTTCTCTTCATGTGTCTTAATCTGTTTCCCTGCTTCAAAACGCAGAGCAAGCAGGAGGAGTCAAACAGCAGCCGGCGCTGCGAGAAAATCCGTCCTGGCTGCTTTAATCCAGCCACAGGCAGATTATATAATCTGCAGCCTTGAGCAGGAAGCATCCAGGCTGACTGGAGAAAAGCAGCCACTATCCAGCGGCTTCTGCAAAGAGATGAGAGAATGAACAATGAGCAGGGAATCAACAGCAGATCCAGAAGGGACAGAAAGTCCAGCAGACAGAAAACCTTCTGCACAGAGGAGATCACAGAATCCCAAACAGATTCTGACACACAATGCTCAGTTTTTAGCATGTTTTCCTCTCAGAAAGATGGTTTTGGACCTTTCTGTGAGGGATTAGCTCAGCGCTGCGGCTAGCTTCCTCAGACTGAAAACCTGTGTTGTTTCCTCTCTAGATTTGCTTTGGTATGTGCAGGAATGCCAGTTATCCATTCTTCTATTTTTATTCTCAGTAGATTGAAACATGGAGGAATTCTGACTCAAATGGGTCACAGGGTTCACTCAGTGCTTTGGATGCTAACAATCTGATATTGAACGCTGCTGTGGGATACACCATGTCCTGAGCGCGCTCTCACACACACACAGTCGTGTTTTCATCACTTGTGGGGACTTCACATTGACTTCCATTCATTTCTATAGCCTAACCCTAACCTTAACCTTTGCCCTAACCCTAACCATCACAGACCGAACTACTAACCCAAAGACAACCATTTCCCTCATGGAAACCAAGAAAATGTCCCCACAAGGAGCCATGGTCCCCAGAAGCCCACATTGTAAACAGAAATAGGTTCCCATAAGGATATGAAAACCTGATAAACACACACACACACACGCACGCACGCACGTGTACACACACACACACACACACACGCACGCACGCACGCACACACACACACACAGACACACACACACACACACAGACACACACACACACACACAGACACACACACACACACACACAGCATCCTACTGCGGATGAATAATTCAGAGCTGCAGGAGAAAGTGCTCAGTCACCACAGAAATCCCGTCCACCTCTCAGGACGGTTTGTCATCCTGCTCCAGAACCTTCAATCGATAAATCCATTTTGTGACACATTAAAACAGCATTAATGATGCTTTTAATTAAATCGGTTTGTGCATTTCATGTAGAGTAAAACCTGACATGAATATTTTATGTCTTTAGCTTCTGCGTAACATCATTTCAAGCAACAGCAGTTACCCTAAAAAACTAATGTATTTATGAAATGTGTTCCATGATTCTGAGGAGGTTAACATGTTTGGAGAACAAACTTCCAGTTCAATAATCAGGAACGCTGAACTGCACTGAGTAATGCTTGTGTTTACTTTTCCTTCTTCACTTTTCTTCTTCTGTTTATAAATCTCTATTTTGTTTAAATATGTTGGGATTTAAATAAAATGTTTCTAGTGCATGTTAATGAACACCACCAACTAAAACAGAGCAGCGCTAACATTAGCTCTGCTAACGCTAAAGCACAAATCAGAAACATTAGCTCTGCTAACACCGAAGCACTATGGCATTTTGTAGAAGCTAAAGCTAAAGTGCCATTTCAAAATGGTGGAAGCTATTGCTAAAATTGACATTGGAAGCTAGTAGAAGCTAATGCTAATGTGCTAAATGTTGGCACCCACCACATATGTTTCTCAAACATGTGATTTTTTTTGCTTGTTTGTTTGATTAGCCCTGCAGGTTGTTTGTTCATGTAAAGGTTGAGTTGTTCTATTTGTGTTGTCGACTTTTACTCAGTAAAGTTTTTGGAAGAAAAAAAAGAAGAGAGAATGTGAGGACAGGAAAAGGAACTGCAGCTTCAAAATAAAAGCATGAATATAATTCTTTAAAGCCAACGTCCAAAACTTTGTTCAACTGAACGTTTACAAAACAGCCAAGCAAATTAGCGCCTTAGAGTTTATCTTGAAAAACTAATTTAGGGGATGCTAAGTGTGCTAAAAGCTAGTACCAGCTATTAGTGGATTAGCTGAATTGTAGCCACCACTGTGTATTTGTTATCCTGCCAGCGGTGTATTCCGGTTCTGTTGGAGCCGCAGAGTTTGCTTACACATCAGGCCGGCCCACAGCAGCTGATTTATCTGAGCCATCATCTCCATCCTCCCTGACCGGCTCAGAGGCACTGCGGCAGGAATCTGACTCCAGACCGCAGACACGGGGGGCGGGACGAGGCTGGTCATGTGGCCCGCAGCAGCGCGCGGACCAATGGAATGAATGGACCGTAAATAGGAGCCAATGGGAGGCCGGGGGCGCGCATAAAAGGCGAGCGCCGCTTTAATCCGCAGCAGCAGCGGCAGCAGGAGATCCGGAGCTTCTCACCTCAGACTGAACACAGGTAGGGCAGCTTCGTCCTGCGGGGCCTCGGCAGGATGATGCGGGGAGCCACGCAGGCCGGCGGGATGTGCACCTGCTGATGCGCCTTGTTTCCCGCTGCCGAGCCGCAAAGCGCCGCTGCGGGTCAACCGGCCGACCTTGCGGTCTGTCCTGCGCTCAGGTGTTGCGCAGCAGCGGGATGCGCGCGCCGCTCTGCAGGATCCACCTGCAGGCCGGACCGGAACCATCAGAACCACCTTAAATCCGCCCGTTTTAATCTGCGCAAACAAAGGAGCTGCAAACAGCGCATGCTCAGATCCAGGGAATTGATCGCACTTTGGGACGATTCCGGTCTTCTGATTCCTTCAGGGCTCGTTCGGCTCTAAAGCTCAGAACCGGTCCTGGTTCCGGTGGTGCTGAAGGTGACCGGGCGCCGCGCGCGCGGTGCCGCAGCCGCGTGCAGCCGCGGCTGCGTCACTGCGCGGCCTCCTGCACATTTAATCCCTTTGTGTCTCCCCCCCCGCCCCCCGCCGCGCCCCGCCATGTCAGAGTCCAGATTACATCCCGAACCTCCGCGGAACCAGAATCAGCTGATTCAGAACCAAAAACGGAAAACCTGCGGTTCCGTCTAGCCTGAAGGTCAAGAAGAATCAGCTGCTGATGATGACTCAGCAGCTTCTCTGCTCATTTTTATTATTTTGATGTTTTTTTATTCCTGTAAATTTCATCTGGATTTAAAGACGTCAGAATCAAAAACCTTCAATTGATCAACAGATTTCTGATTTGAAACCAATCTCTGCTGCTTCCATCTCCCCTGGATCAATAATATCTGATTGGACCAGAAATGCATCAGTTTTAGTGATTAAAGCTCGTAAAGGACCAGAAACCGGACGAGAAGGAGGCAAAAGCTTTTATTTTGAAAGGCCAGCAGAACCGCTTGAGGTTCATGAGGAAAATGAGAATTTATTGGTTTTGTTTTATTGAAATATTCAATTAATGATGTGGAAATTACTTTAGCACGAAAATACAAAATTAAATATTTAGACACTTATTTTGAAGGAGCCTTTTAAAATATTGAACCAAAGAAATGTTGAGGTTTTTATTAAGAATCAAGTTTTTGTGTTAAAAACAACAAATTATTCTGCATGGATTAAATTTGAATATTTATCTTAATTTTCAGATGAATAATCTGGAAATTAAGATTTTATTTCACTTAGAATTTTATGATTTCCTAGGATAATTTAAGGGATCATTTGTCTCCCTTTAAGTGTGAAATACACTTTTGATTTTTTTTTTTTTTTACAAAATTCACTCTTTTAACATTTTATTTTGAAGACTGTTAAAAGGTTTATTTAAACAACCAAAACAAAATTAATCCAAGGAAATATTTATTTTAAAAGATCTAGAATAGAATCAAAAGTTTGTGTCTGGAAATCAATTAAATTTGGACCTAAATAAAATAAAACATTCCACATAAATAACATAGAAGTTGATTTCATTTAACTTGACATTTTATTTTTAGAATATTTTGTTGTTGTTAAAAAGTTCAGTTTCAATATCAAACGATCAATTATTTAGTGTAGTTTATTTTTTAAATTAATATTTAACCTATAAAAAGTTTCTTATCTAATAAAGAATCTAAAGTTTGGACCAAGTAAAATATTCAGCTGATGATCAAACAGATTGATTACTCACTGTTCCACATAAATGATTCAAAGTTCTCTGATGGGTTTTGTGGTTATTTGTGGGTCCAGGTCGGCAGCCCAGACGTCATCATGCCTTTCGGAAACACCCACAACAAGTTTAAGATGAACTACTCTGCGGAGCAGGAGTACCCCGACCTCAGCCAGCACAACAACCACATGGCCAAGGTTCTGACGCTGGAGATGTACGCCCAGCTGCGCGACAAGGAGACGCCCAGCGGCTTCACCCTGGACGACGTCATCCAGACCGGCGTCGACAACCCAGGTCGGTCTCACCTGGAGCCAGACGATTGGTTCCTGCTTCTCAGGAGACTCAAGTCACCCAGAACCACGTCGCAGGGGCGGCTCCTCTGGGGGCTGCGGGGGGCCGATGAGTCCTGGGAGGAAAAACAAAAACAGACATTAATGGGCTCCAGAAGTGAACTGGGTCTGAGTTACACACACAAGTAATGGAGAGCTAAAACCATAAACACATCAGAGAAAAAAATGAACAAAACCTGGAAGACCTTCAGATAAAAACTAATTACAGATAATCTGTGGGTAGACAAGAACTAAACATAGAAAATATTCAGATAAAGTAGAACTAAAATAGGAAATATGAACTCAACCTGGAGACCACCATGGAAGGTAAACATGAGATAAACATAAAAAGTCTGAAGGTAATATAGAACTAAACCTAGAAAAGCTTCAAATAAACTAAAACTAAACCTAGAAAACCTGCAGGTAGACATTAACTATACCTAGATAGTCTGCAAGTATAAATTAATGTAGAAAACATTTCGATAATATAGAAATAATGCTACAAACCCTGCAGGTAAAAAAATAACTAAATCTAGAAGCCATTAGGTAGACATGAAATAAACCTAGAAAACCTTCAGATAGAAGAAAACCCTGCAGGTAATCTGTTTTATTCATAAGATCAGATTTCTCTGGTGGAGTCCTGATAAAGAAAAATAAATCTAGACATAATTACACTTAAAAACTTGTTTGAACGTAAATCTGTATCTATAAAACCAGAACATAAATTTTCACTGTGGGGTCTTTGGCCCCGTTGGGCCCCCCCTGATTTCCCCTCTGCTCCACCTGAATGCAGATGAATGGATGATTCTGATTGGTTTGTCTTAATATTTAAACATTAGGTATGAACAGACACACCTGAGCAGGTCTACTGTTTGAGACGAACCTCAAACACCTGAACGCTCCCCCGGGTCAGAACCTCGTCAGAGTCCAGATCCTGTGAATCAGATCAAAAATCCTCGTGCTGCATTTAGAGGCTGTTGGGATTTTAACATTTGTTTTCCTGATTATGAAGGACACACTACCAGCCATCATAGCTGAATATTTGAAGGATGTTTTTATTTGACAAGCAACAAATCAACCTGATACCTGCAGGCTTTGGACTGGAGGTGCATCAGACTGTTTATCCATCCTGCACTTCTGCTGCTGTTCATTAATTCCTTCCTAATTGGATTGACTTGATAGCTCGAGTTATTTCTGCTCGTTAATTCCCCACCGAGGGCGGAGCCACTGCTTCCTGTCTGATCTGCTGATCCTCTTCTTCACATCCAGAATCATCACGTTCAGCTGCAGAAAGTCAAACCAAGAGCAAAGCTGAGGTTTCAGTTTTCTGTCCCCCGGTGTCTCCCTGCAGGTCACCCCTTCATCATGACGGTGGGCTGCGTGGCCGGAGACGAGGAGACGTACGATGTGTTCAAGGACCTGATGGACCCCGTGATCGAGGACCGTCACGGAGGATACAAACCGTCAGACAAACACAAGACGGACCTGAACGCAGAAAACCTGCAGGTGAACTCCGAGAACTAACCTTGTTCAGAACCAACCTGGTTCTGGTTGTGTTCGCTGTCCGTGGTGCTGAATCGGTACTTCCTGATGTTGGACTCATCTGGTAACCTTTGTCTTTCTGTGTTCAGGGTGGAGACGACCTGGACCCAAACTACGTGTTGAGCTCTCGGGTTCGGACCGGGAGGAGCATCCGTGGTTTCTGCTTGCCACCGCACTGCAGCCGCGGCGAGCGCCGCGCCATCGAGCAGCTCTCCATCGAAGGTACAGCAGCAGCTCTGGTCGTTTCTGGATGCTGCTGTCGGTAAACCTGCACAGTCAACAATTAACGGCAATAACTGGCGTTATTTAGCATGTCGTAAGAAAACATTTCTCAGTCATATTCACCAAGTTATTAACTATAAATGTCACAGTTATGCTAACTAAATATTTAATTAGCAAGCTAAACATTAAGCATTTGTCAGACATGCTCAATGTCTAGTTTAAAGCCATTTTTTAGCTCAGATATAAGTATTTAGTTAATATGCAAATTTACTTGATGACCAGAAGTGGACTATCAAAGTAAAAGCTGGTTCTTCTGAACTTCTGAGAATCTGTTTTTAAATCGCTTCAGCCAACTCTTCATCAAAGTTTATTTTCAACTGAAGCCAAAGTTTGAGCCATTTTAAAGGCAATACAGACATTTAGCCATCAATCTGCAGGGGGTCCATCAGACTTTTATTTTGATAGTCCACTTCTACCGATTGTCAAGTGAATTGAAAATTGAAAGTATAGCTAGCTCAGATCTAGTTTGGGGATAAATATTTAGTTCAGAGCTAAATTATTAGCTGCTCACTAAATAGTTATGTAGCTAAATTCTCACGAAACATTTAGTTAGCCAAGTTAGCTAGGTAACTTGCTAAAAAACAAGATTTAGTTAGCGAGCGAATCTGTCTTTAGATGGCTAACTAACTAAATATTCAGATTGAAACTTTTGACATTTATAAATGTCTGCGTAACGTAGTGAACATTACTGAATCATTAATCCTACCGGTTCTTCTCCAAGCGGCAGCCCGCAGCTAAAATGGCGGCTTTCACTCACAAGATTCCGCTTCCGGTCCAACTGACTGATTATCACTTCAATAAAAGTCAGGCGTGACGTAAAGCTCCGCTTACAGGTGTCTGGAGAAAGTGAGGCAGGTTAGTCACCACATCAGAGCCCATTGTTCTGTAACGGAACCGAACCGGAAGTGAAGGAGCAGCGCGGTTAGCATCACCTTATGCTGCGTTCAGGGACATGCAGGGATTCTCTGAATCATACCGGGTTTATTTTGCTCCGTCTGATGAGGATGAGTCTTTATTTATAGCCTTCCCATCATGCCTCAGTGAGCGGCCAACACACCAAGCCGTTACGTAACCGAGAGCAGAGCTTCGTCGTGCAGAGAAACTCCGAACGAGCTCAAAGACACTGAGGACACTCTGCTGCCCCCTGCTGGTAGAAACAGGGACTGTTTCTGTTAAGACAAACATCTGTAGATGTACGAGAGCAGCTGCTTATGTTGAATCCATAAAAAAAACCTTTACAGTTGGTCTTCTGGACCTGAAATAATTTAGTTCCATAAAATAAAGTTTACCAAAAAAAACAAAAAAACAAGTGACACTGCTAAATGCTCAAAACCATTTTTAAGTTGAAATCTTTTTTTACAAACCTTTCAGGCCTAATTTAGCTCCATATGATGAAGTTTGCAAAAAACGGAACTTAAAACATAATTAACCATAAAAATGACTTTTTTAGTTTAATTTTTTTACAAACTTTGTGGCCCTAATTCAGCTCCACATAATAAAGTTTGATGAAAAAAAACATTGAACCTGAAAAGTAATTTCAAACTTTTTCCATTTTATTTTTTAACAGTCCTTATGGTGTTAATTCAGCTCCATAAGCTAAAAAAAGCATGAAAATCATAGAAGGTGACAGTGCAAATATGTTAATAGCAACATATTAATAGAAAACTTAGTGGAAGAAAAAACTGTTCTGCATTTCATTTGGAAATCATAATTTCAGAGTCTAGAGAATCAGAATCCACATTATTTGATGTTTCTTTAAAATAAAAAATGGCAGCACCATTGACATGTGACCCAAACACTGAACCGTCTGACTGCAGCCACTCAGTGGCACCACACCTCCGACCCATCGGTTCTGACCCGGTTTCTCTCTGCCTGCAGCTCTGGACTCTCTGGAAGGAGACCTGAAGGGGAAGTACTACGCCCTGAAGAACATGACTGAGGAGGAGCAACAGCAGCTGATCGATGACCACTTCCTGTTTGACAAGCCCGTTTCTCCTCTGCTGCTAGCATCTGGGATGGCGCGCGACTGGCCCGACGCACGCGGCATCTGGTCAGTACGTTCCCAACACACTTAGCTATTAGCACATTAGCTCAACTATTAGTAAATTAGCCCAGGTACTAGCACATTAGCTCAGACACTAGCACATTAGCTCAGCAATTAGCACACTTCCACTAATGTGCTGATTGCTGAAGTAATATTTGATTAGTGTTTTCTAACTCTGAAAACATTTATGGGACTTAGCTTCTGTCAAATCATCTGGATAAATGTAAAGCCCCAACTTACTTGGCTGCAGCTTTTTTTTTTAAAACTTCAGTTAAATAAAGTTCAACATCTGTGATGAAGTTTTGATTATTGACTAGTAAGAGTTCTTCAAGTAGTTAGGCATTTACATTCATGCTCTTATTTTGAAGTGGCTTTAGACCGTTTACTCTGCGGTTTCATTTTCTCTCCTTATCTCCTTACAGTAAAACCTACGATCAAAACACATAAACATAAATGCATCTAAAGCCGTTATATTGGCCATTAAATTGGTGGTTGAGGTCTGTAGCCTTTCAAGGGAAAACATAATTTGAATTTAGCATTAGCTTAAAATTTCATGTTGGTAAAGCGTTTAGCATTAGCAGAACTAATGTTTATGATTACTGTTGCGCTAACCTTTTATTTAGCGCTGTCCACCACGACATAAACGCAATAGAAAACCACCTGTACTCACTCCCCCACCTGCCCTCGTGATGCTGCCCTGGGTAACTGTCAATATGGCCGCCATTCCATCTGGATCTGACCCAAATGTCGTCCATCACCTGCAGGCACAACGACAACAAGACCTTCCTGGTGTGGGTGAACGAGGAGGATCACCTGCGTGTCATCAGCATGCAGAAGGGGGGCAACATGCGTGAGGTGTTCACACGCTTCTGCACTGGGCTCACCAAAGTAAGCTCCACCCCCTATCTCTGCCCCCTTACCTCTCCCACCCCGTCTCACCTGTTCACTCTGTCTCTTCCAGATCGAAGACTTGTTTAAGAACCGAGGACATGAGTTCATGTGGAACGAGCACCTGGGGTATGTCCTCACCTGCCCGTCCAACCTGGGGACGGGGCTGAGGGCCGGCGTTCACGTCAAGCTGCCAAACGTCAGCAAGCACGAGAAGTTTGGAGAAATCCTGAAGAGGCTGCGGCTGCAGAAGCGAGGAACAGGTACGCCGCCTCCGGCTTGGCTGGAGCTTCATGAACTACAAGGAAAACAGACTCAGGCTAAAGACTTTTGGAGCATTTGTACTGTGTGCAGGTAAACTGCAGGGGGCAGTGTAGAGCACCATCAGCAAATACAGGGCGTCATTTGTAAAGTTATTTACAACTTTAAGATAAAAATAGTGGTTCTATTTTCACCATGATATTTATTCATATATATCAATATGAAGCTCAATATTTAGTTAACCAGCTAAATATGTAGTTTAGCTTACTATCTTAGCTTGGTAAAATATTTAGTCCAGTGCCAATTATTTGGCTAAAAAGCTAAATATAGCTAATGAGTATCATTAACTATTTAGCTTGAGGCTAAATACATTGAACTTGCTAGTTCAATCTCTTTAGATTAAACTAGTAATTATTTGGTCTCAAACTAATTATTTAGTTGCCATGCTAAATGTAGTTAGTAAGATAAATGTTTAGCTTGATTAGTGGAAGTATGCCCACCACTGCGGCCAAGTCAATTAGAAGTTAAGAGCGCTAAGCGTTTTTCAAGTTAGCTAGTAGCTGCTAGTAGTTTAGATAAGCGCTTTAGAATTCATCTGGAAAATGTGTTTAGGAAGAAGATAGCTCCGTTATTAGCATGTTTAGTGTGTGTACCACTAACTTCCTGTCTGCGTCTCAGGCGGCGTGGACACCGCGGCAGTGGGCGGAGTCTTCGACATCTCTAACGCAGACCGCCTGGGCTTCTCGGAGGTGGAGCTGGTCCAGATGGTGGTGGACGGCGTCAACCTGCTGGTCAACATGGAGAAGCGCCTGGAGGCCGGGGAGGCCATCGACGACTTGATGCCAGAACAGAAGTGAACTGTCTCACTGTAACACCGCCGTCCTCCCTCCTCTTCCTCACTGCACCGTCCACCCCGCCCTCCTCCTCTTCCTCACTGTACCAGTCCGTCCTGACGCTGCGGGACGCGTAGAGCCGCTCGGTTAGACTGCAGTCTTCCAACATGTGAAGGATTTTCTATTTCCTTATCTGCACCTGTTGGATCCATCTAACATCTGAAATATCTAATAAAGTCTCTGTGGCCCAGACTCAGCGCCTGTATTCATTTACAAACAAATCAAATTCACGCAGGTTTCTGAAGAGAACACTGTGGACTTTGACTAGGCCGTTGGTTTTGGCTTCTAGACTCGTTTTTGGTCTGCAAGATGCAAAGCATTTTTTAAAACGGAAAAACCCATAATTTAAATTTTTATGCAATCATAAATGTGGCCTAATCATCACTTAAAACGAGTTAAAACCATAAGTTTACATACCCTTCATTTTCACTGTCTGAAGTTTAATCAAACCATATTTCTCGTTTCAGGTAAAGTTAACATCATATTTCTATTTGCCACATAGAAATAATTAGGTTTACATACAGAACACGTACATAAAGACAAACAGTTCGAGGACAAAACTTGTGAAAGGAAACACAACCAAATATTGGGATTTATGTACACTTATGATTCTGATTTTTTTGTTCTCATTACTGAAGTTTTTAATAGATATTTTAATTTTGACCTGAAATGAGAGAAACTTGGTCTACTTTATCAACCAGAGAAGAAAAATTGTATGTAAATTACGAACAAAATACTAAACAGAAAGTAAAAGCAGATATTTCCATTCTGACGTCCCTCCATTAAAATCCGGGAGGTTTCTCTGCTGCCACCTGGTGGTCAATCAGCGTCACTGCAGCAACAAAACGGAATTTTGTTCAACTGACTGAAGATTCATTATAATCAATAAACTGAAGTAAATTTTATCAACACTTTACGTAATTCGAATAAAAACATTTTATCCTCTTGTCTCCACTTTTGATATGGAACTATTTTTGCCTTATTCCAACCATAAATCACATTTTATTGTAATTTTAAAAAAGTTGAACATATTTCACACTTTAGTGGAAACTGAAGAGTTTGCACCTGAAATTGAATCGAAACGCAGTCTGGAGGTCTGCTGAACTGAAGACTGTTTGGCGCTAGGTTCCCTGTGGTCACCATGACGACAGGACGCTGATGCGTTCAACGTGTTTAATGAGACACAGGTGAGCCTGAGCTGCAGTCGGATCAGCTGACTGCTCACATGTACAAAATCAACAAGGTGAGAAACTATTTACATTCACAAAAACACAGAGAGACTCTGAAGAGGAACGCTAACAGCCAGACTCAGAATCCCAGAATGCTTTGCAGCAAAGTCCGCTCATCCCCGCCTACAGCGTCAAGCCGGAACCAATCAGCAGACAGCTCAGTCATCCTGCTGGGAGAAACAGGAAGACGGCAGCCGGGTCATTTCCTTCGGGTCATCACTTCCTGTCCCTGTCTGTCCACCTGAACCACTTCCTGTTCTCCCGATGCTCCCAGTCCCTCTATAGTTTGAGCTCGTTGGCGATTTTGGAGGCGATGTTCTTGAAAGATGGACGTTCCTGAAATGCGTTTGAAGCGGACGCCGTTGAGCGAGAGGCGGGGCAGCTTGCAGACCTCCATCTCCCATTGGACGAGGCTGTCTGCGTGCCCGTCGCCATGGACACAGAGCAGCAGGAAGACCTCGCGCTGCTCGTAGTCGCAGTTGTTGGCGTCCAGGACCTTCCTGATCTCGCGCATCATGTCCGCTGGCTCCATGGACGACGTGGTCTTCATGCTCCAGGTGAACCTCAGCGAGCGCGGCTTGGCGTCCTTGGAGTGCGGCGTGGCGGGGACGCCGGCTCCTCCCTTTGGTCGGACGTCACGGCGCGGCTGGAGGGAGGAGAACAAGACGTTAACGTCCTGCAGACGCTGCGCTCTGATTGGCCGTCTCGCTTTACCCACCTGGACCCCTCCAGTCTGCCGTTCCTCTCCGCCTCCGACGGCGCTCTGCCAGCCGAGAGGAGAAGGAGAAG